CGAGGTTAAGGACCGAATCGATGAACGCATCCGGAACAGCTGAAGAATCAGCATTAATGAAATTTCCATCTGAAATGTGCATCAGTCATTCAAAGAAATGGCGCAAGAATGGCTTAAGAGTTAATTTAAAACATTCTATTCTGTTACAAAACGGAAATGTGTGGGTTGTTGTTACAAATGTATTGCAAAATTAAGACAACTGCACAGAAGAATATATGTTATTACTATGTGTTTATCTTGGCGAAACTTACTAAAATATTATCTTTAATTTTTTATTTGTACTTGAAGATGAAATACATTGAAGCTTTTTTTTGGTTACTTCGGATTCCTTATCTGCCACAGAACTGTCTTAATAGAGCTATTATTATAACAAATTCTTTCTTATTTTAAAACACTATCAATAAGAGTTTGTACAGTAAAAAGTTTATTTTTCAGATATTACATCTTATTCTTCTACTGTGCAGCAAGAATTACTCTGTAATATGTACCGACGTCTTCGTAATTTTAATGCTTTTAATCCCTTCCGTTTAAAAGAAATTACGAGTTGTATGAATCTGTTTTCTATTCTGTTCAAGTTGGCTAACCATTTTTCTCTGTAATCACTCTTCAGTTTAAGGAAAAGCCTACATAACTTTATTACAATTATTTATTTTAATCCGTCTTATCACAATACGATGACAGTAGTACTTCTGGACATATCGGAACAATCACTCCTACATCTAAGACCGATATGTACATCTGATAAAATTAAGAAAAGACAACACCTCGCCCAAAATTGAAAAACAAATGGCATGAAACATCACCAAATGGAATCATATTTGAGTTTTAAGTTCATAAATAATTTACACCTGATGATGGTTTTATAAAAACTGAAACATGTTGTGTAAAGGATGTTCCAAAATGTAATATTCACAATATGACGCAATTACACTATCTTATAACTTTATTAGTTTCCTTCACATATATTTTGTTTTATTTTGTTACAATTACGTAGATGGCACACAAAAACATGGACACGATATTATAACAATACTCCGTCGTATGGAACGACTTAACATGGACATTTTAACCCTGTATAGAAACGTAATTACAAAATGGGGTCCATTTCTGGTCCCTTATTCTTTTGCTTAAAAGTTGAAATACTGTGAAGTTTACAAACATTCAAATTGTAAAATTATTTTATTTTATAACGATGTGTAAAAACTTCATTTCCTTAAAATTAACCACAGTTTGCAAACTACAACATTTTTAACAGGAAAAGTTATGAACTGTCGAGAAAATAATTAGTCTTAAATGTAATGAATAAAGACTTTTTTAACAGAGACTTTTAGAAGCCCACTGTTGACAAGATTTACATTTGAGATCAATTTTCCTGTCTGCTGCTCTCAGACAGGTGTGAAACCGTCATCTTTTGTCCTTCACTTTTGTTACCAAGTTGGTTCAAATCTGATCCTGACAATGTTTAAACACAATATCTGTTAAGAACTGTATAAGCTGAAAGGTCCTACACAATGAGATTTCTTTTATGGACTTTGAAGTAAATAATATACGACTTATATATATAACTTTAAGAGTGAAATATTTTGCTAAATGGAATCAACATTTAGCTTTGGAATACACCATAACAGACCCACCGGTAATTCGATGATTAAGTAAGGTGAAATCTCATTTACATCTACAGCGATACAGAAGGAAGAAGAATTTTAGAACTCAACATAATAATTGTAAATTACCTCGCTGTTGATTTCAGAATCCGCGTAGGCTATTATTTCCGCAGAGTGAAACTGTCCCAGAGCGGTGAAATACCGAAAATTAGTTTTGATACTTGTGCACATGCTATATGGATCTGTCCAGATACGGAGGGGCTGGATTTAAGTGTCTCGGAATATATTGCCGCTCATAATTTACACGCAATGTGTAGCCTAGCTTGTAACGATGGAAGGCAAAGGTGAAGTTCCGAATGGCGAACCGCGTGCCAGCCAGCATACTGCACAGTCCAGAAATACATTTACTGTTCGATAAGGATCTTGTGGATATCGGGAGGGAATTTCAAAGTTTCTTTCGTAAGGTCGACGTGCATAGTGTTATGTGGTTTGCCTGAACAGAATTATGTTTTTTCGTAGGGTCTGCTAAATACCTGTATTAGTATCTAACGTCCTAACCAAATAATTAATTAGCTAACTATACAGCAAGCTAACTACCTAATAACTTCAACAAATGCCTAACAAACTACGTATCAACATGTGTATGATTTGGGGTTATCACAGCAGTGAGTCTGATGATTGCTTATCTTCTGGGTTATTGCGCTGTGTAAATTGTTTAGTTTTGGTAAAGGGAGTCTATATTAGGAAAGATGTTAAAATATGAGTGTTTAACGTTAGGATTTTGAATAAAGGAATTGTAAAATTTTTATTTTGAATTTTGAAACTGAGAAAATTAAAAATTTTAAAATTAGGGCTTTTACAAATTTTAAAAATTTTGTAGATGTGGACATTTTTAAATAATAGCCCGACAGTAGAGCTAGATTATTTCAGGCTATTTTTGTGGCGTCTGGATATTATATTAGGTCACGACAAGATAGATGAGATTAGTGTAGGTTAAGTTGGGTTAGACTAAGTTAGGTTAGGACAGGGTAGAATAATTTATTTTAAGTTATGTTAGGTTTAGTTTGTTTACTTTCCGGTTAGGAGAATTAGGTTAGATTAGGTGAAATTGTTGGGTAATTGTTAAAACTAGGCAAGGATAAATTACGTTGAATGTTCGTGCTGTAGGTTAATTGTGGTAAGTGAGAAAAAACTGTTGGTATGAACTTACACAGTTGGAAAAAACCGGTTGGAAAATGCTTATGAATATTCGGTATGCTTATAAATGTGCGAGGCAAGAACGCATGATAGATTTCTGTGTATGGAGTACACATTTGTCTCTTGCACATTCTGTTATAAATAGCCTAAACAATGGAAATAAAATCAGTATCAACAGACATATCCCTCAGTTACACTCGACTCCGATAAAAGAATTTAAGAATAAAACTGCGAATTCTTTTCCTGAGGAAGTTAAATGCAGAGTTATTTTATGTTGAAGCAGGTGTTACGTATGGTTACCACTGGTCTTTATAGATTAAACAAATTTCTGTATGAGTTGCACAAATATAACGTATATTTTCCTAATCTAGACACTATGTTCATCTTGGCATTTATCAAACTACTTGCATATTCTAGAACGATTTCTGTCTACTTTATTCCTTTAAACCCCATTTGTAACTACATGTTTCTCCTCTTTCAAGAGTCAGTAACCATTCATCTTGTAGTTACGGGTTTTGTATGATTCAATATGTAAACAGCGAGTATTTTGTCAAACAGCGTTACACGTATAAATTTGTAATGCTGAAGTCTGGTCTTTTCCTTGCGGTACGGACCGAATTCTTAAATATTTTTTAGACGAGCTTCGGCTTCAAAGGGTTAAAATCTTCCGCCGTGTATGTGGTCCTGAGTCGGCCATTTTACTTACGAGTGCGTTTCTCTCACACTGTAAACATAAATTATTTCCGATTATGTAGTGCAGTACTTGGTTAGTGTAAGTAAAATGTGACGAGTGATCATACATCAAGTATAAGAATTATTTTCTTACACAGAATTAAGCAGCTGATCTTAAAAATTGTGGAATATTACCAATTTTTGTGGTACAGAATTAGTCATTCGGTTTCTAAGGATTAGGAACAAATCTGGGCGAAATAATTTATCTAAGAACTATTTACATCAGCAGTCAAGTCCATAAAGCATTGTCCTCAAGGAACTAAAAGCCTCTGAGCTGATCAAGAGATCCGAAATTACATTAGACACCACCACGTTTACAATTAACCCATTACTGGTCCTATTCCGAACGGCATGAACCAGTTCACACCCTTACACTTTATAAAATCAATTTTAATATTATTTTGCATGTATACCTAGGACTTCCAAGTTGTCGCTTCCCTTTAGGTAACATTAACCGAAGAATTACAGCAAAGACTTAATGTCTTGTCACATATTAAGACTGCCTAAGACTTCTAACAATAACGGTGGAATTATTCTGGTACGACATCTGAGATTCTCACGATGGTGTAAGTGTTGAAGATGTTCTTATGGGCGATACTGTTTGTACTAAAGGTGACAATTCCTTCCAAAGTGATAACTGCACATCGTCATAACCCAGGTCACAGTCAATACATGTTATTCAGAACGTCTTTAGAGCATATTGGATCAATGCTTCTGTTTAGGAAGTATCAAATTCATATGAAGACATCACCTACTATTCTGACATTTTTAGTTGCATCCTGATCTAATTAGTGCCGTAATAGTACTTCTATACAATCTTGATCGCTCTTTTTCATACTTTGAAATTCACGGTCCATGGGCTGTAATCACATTCTAAGTTCACTCGGTCATAAAAATTGTAGGCAACTCTTGATCGTTAAAGAATCCAATACTGGACCATAAACCATGCACAATGTTCAAGGGTTTATAGATTGCAAAGTTATTTTACAGTACACTTTCCCGCTATTTTTAATTATCATATAATGGCGCCCATAAATTAGCGGACGATATCAAAGGGGAATAACTATTTACTTAAAACACATACGAAAAACTTATAGGTTCTGCTTTAAAACAGGTCAAGTAAGTCTTCCTTCACAATTATACCAAAGCAAACAATTCTTATAACTTACGTAGTTGAAACTGGGTCGTCAAATCAGTATATATTCTTTTAAATATTTGGTCTGTACGTGAACTGTCGCAGATCATTGGCGCCTGTTAACAAGAATTACACTGGCGCGACTAGCCGCGTGCGGCGTGTAGGTCCCTAGCCAAGGTTGGCGGCTACAAGTCTTAATAAATATATGCAGAAGATAGGCGACTGACGTGCGGCAACCGACGTGTTTAGAGGCAGAGACTGGAGACGGCGGGCGCAGGTGTTGGGGCGCCGGCGTGGTTCTTGAGCATGTTGCCGTTATAGGATGGGGGGTCAGAACGGACACGATCAGTCGTGATGTGGCACGCGCTCTGTTGCACATGGTCGCTGAGAAACAGGGGAACTACTACATGACGGTCGCGATGTGCTCTGTTCAAGCTGCTCTCAAATGGCTACTCTTCACTGCCATGGCCATCTCTGTACTGCACCCAGTTGCAACCGACATCACTGGTAAGTGCAACCTCATAATATTATGCGATTTATATTTCTTATGCAGTTTCTTATTTTATACTACAATGAAATAACGTCAAGTTTATTAAAATCGATGTTTCTCATATTACTCGTATTTAATATGTATCGTAACTAAAAATATTAAACATATCCATTGGCATATTAATTGGTACTGTAACATTTCGGATTCGCTCTATATCACGTGAATAATGTCATCGTGAAACAGAACGCGTTTTTAAAGCTCTGGTAATAATATCAGTGGACCACGCATTGTCATACCCGTGTAAAGTGACGTTTTATTCTGAATTCAATGGTTTATCTGATAGTTTTGAACTTTGATGTTTATAAATATAAAACATGTTGGACTATAGATCATAAAACATAAACATGAATTAGTATGTAGTAAATTAAATACTGCAATAATATTTTGAGTTGAAAGAAAACGTACGACAAAAAACCTAACAACCTAACCTACAAACACGATCGTACTTTCCTTTAATGTTAAGGTCGTGTTATTGTCCGAAAATTCTACATGATGGAAATTATATTGTATCTCACATTGTCTGCTCTACAGTTATGAAGATAAATTGAGTATTCTGCTTTATTTTCTTACTGATAATTACTTATTCCTTTCAATAAATCAACATAAAATTTTAAAAGCTCTGAATGTCGAAAGTTGTCATGACTCAACTATCAAGTACGTAGAACAACTGCTAAACACAACACTTAGGTAAGTTAGCGGCATATTTAGGATAAGAGTGTTATTATTGTATTGCAATATATCTTATAAGCAACATTAATTCCTTTACACTGTGTTATGTAACTATATAGTGAAAAGTCTTTTAGGTCGGAATGTAAAATATAGTTCCCAGTGCTGAATCTGTGGTATTTCAAATTGGAATTCACATTTATATACACCACTTATAAGTCACTTTACAGTTAACACCTACTTGTTATGTTTGAGGTAATTATTCGTACATCAACTGCTATTACAAACACAGTCTACTTCCATATTAAACACCACAGTTAGAGATTATTCTGCAGAATAAAAATCAACTAGATCTACAATACTGGATCTATAATCAGAAATTTTGAATAATTCGAAGTAGAAAAATTATTCTCGTAATGTAAATTTTAGTGATCGCATTTTATAATTGTTACATTTCCGTTGGCCAACAAAACTCTAACTTATGTTAGACTTAACATAAAAATGTATTTAACAGTCGATAAAACACGTGACGATGTACTGTTAAAAGTAATTCTCAAAACTAGGTCATAATCATATATTTGTATGGTATTGTGTTTAACCCCTTCTATCGAACCATCAATATAGGATACTTGTCTGAAGCAGAGCTTAATAATGAAACTTATGGTCTTGTCATAAACACTAAATGATTAATTAAGTCTAGAAAAACAGAAATATCGAAAATACCGTCGTGTATTCAACAGTTGTTTCCTTGAAGATTCCGCCAATGCCGAGCTACTGGACCAGTGCAAAATATAAAATACCTTAAGAGCCAGTCGTAGATAAACATAGGCCCCTACTTGTATTAAAACTGCCAGGCAAGATATAATAACCTGCCCGACTGTCATACTATAAACCAGAAGTTTCACACGGATATCACTTTGATAGAATACGGCATCAGCTGTGAAATTTGACGTCTAAACTGACTGAGCTATGACATAGTTTAATTAGTTGTGTAGGAAATGATTAGTTAAATGGTGGTTAATTAGGTCAATTCGAAATTAATTTCAATGCATAATTACTGTTGAATATCAGAACTCCGTGTGATAGTTTCGTGCCCCAATAGCTACGACCATGTGTTTGAACACTGAACCACGTCCGACAACTTGGAATACAATCACTGTCACAGCAGTTTACCACACAAATTCATCTCTGACAGGTTTCACACTTTCTGTGATCGGGAGTCGCTAATTAGTTATTAGATAACTTAATTAAAATTCCTTCCATAATATGTGTCATGCAAAATATTTTAGCCCTTCACTCATAAACGAATTTACTCTGTTAAAAATGCATGTCGTTGTGTTAGGTTTCATGTTACGCGTCTAAATTGAATTTATTTTCCAGTTCAGAGATTCGATGAAGGTCAGGTTTCATATGCTTATTGATTTTTTATACTATTAAGTTACGTCATATAGATTTGGCGAAGCAAATATGCACCTATTTACAATTCCTTTGTGAACGCGCCTAAAACAAGACAAAATCTATCAGTTATATTGTATTTTGATGGAAACTTGTTGACTTTCTCATTCACACACGGCTTATTTATTGGAACACCATGCAACTTAATTTATATTGGATTCTAATTAACAAAATTCATTATGAGACAGGCATAATATTAGTAAATTTTAAGCCACAAACCTAATAGACGTATATAATGTTATTTATCGCTTTTATTTAATGACTTTAGTAAGGCTAAAATGTGTTTTTCTATCGCTAATATTTCCAGAAGTTGTATTTGCTGTCTATTATATTATTCGTCCGCGTATTTTTATCATATTTCGCCTTACCTGGAGGCAACTTCTCTGTTTTATTATAGACGAACACTAAATTAAGGTCTCTACAGGATATAACAGAAAGTTAGAGACAACTACATTGTCATTATAATTTATATGAATAATTGTACGAAATATTATGAGTGTGATCCAATCAAAGAGCGTGAGATGGGTGGGACACATAGAAGGCATAGAAGCGGCTACGAATGAAAACGGAGGTAGAATTGAAAATCGTGAAAGTAATAAATCAGTTAGGCCACCCAGAAGTAGGTGGAAGGATACTATTAAAATGAGTCTTAAAACAAAATGGTGGAATGTGTATTGGGTTATTCTGGGTCAAGATAAGTACCACGGCAATAAACGTTCAATTCCATTAAGAGACGTAAGTTTTCTTGGGCAACTGAGCTAGTAATACTTTCTCAAGGACACCCCTTCCTGGTCATCGTCAAATGCATACACGTATTAAAACGTCCTGAAGTACAGACTTACCTGCAATCTACTGTTCTCTTCCGTAAGTCGATATAAATGTTTCACTGTCTCAGTTAGCAACAAGTAAAATCATTAAAAGTTCGGGGCACATAACATCGATTGGAAGGAGGGTTCACTGACATTCCATTATATTTCAGTACCTTAGAAATGGCAGCATCATAGATTTCATATAACACGTGTTCGAAAGACGTTTGTCATTTGGAAATAGAAATAGGAGGTCAGTCATTTAAAGTATCCAAAATTATCGAACAAAAGTAGGATATATATATATTATGTTAATTAACAATAAATGAATTTAAATAATAATGCAGTTTCACCACATAAAGGAACAGTATAAGATAATGTTCCCTTTTCCAGACTTTTATTTGCATTATTGATTGTTTGAAAACAAGTTTTTAAATTAACATAAAAACACTGTAGTGAAGAAAATATTGTTATTAAATCGGAACTCGAATTATTGGCATCTCACTTGAAATAACAATGTAACTCAGAGCTAAACAATTTCGACGACAAATTACTATAGAAATCTTAAAATTTTCAAGTTCTTAATGAGTCAATATATCTGACACACAAGGAAGATCTATATAGTAAGACATCAGGTTCTCACGGTGGTGAGTATTATCCTTTTAAACGCAATTTAATAAGTGCACTTTATGTATATTCCATGTGTAAGAACCATTAACATTTACTGTGGTATATTTTTGAGTGTATGATTAATTTTATTAAATAATCTGCATCTATAAATTATTATAACTCATTTGTTTTCTTGTAAATAAAGAAATATTACTGAATCGTCCTAGTAAATAAAAAAGTTTATTAAACTCGAGTGGAAATAATCTTTAAGAGTCTTTACAAAAGTATAATTAAAGCGAAGAGAATATTATTTCACTATTGAGATTGTCAGGGAAATGTCAAATTAAAGTAAACCATCTGTATTAGATACTCGATATGGTAATCAAATTAATGTAGTGACCAAGTTAAAATAACTGTTAAATTTGATTTAATTCTGATGTATTTAATAATAAAAGCAATTGATTGGCTATTTCTTCTTAGTCTTTTGTTGTTAATCAGCACATTTTAAGCTCTAGCTGGCTTAGTCTGCCAGAAAAGAAACTCAGGGGTCAAACATGCACATCTGAAGCTAACTATTATGTAGTGTTCAGATGGCACAATGGATTCTTTACGTAAAAATGAGAATACATGTTCCCTGATAAATGTTTTATGTCTCATAAGCATTCAGAAAATATTAGCTTATCAGGATACAAATATTTTTCATCATACTGTTCAGATAGTAAACATATGACATCTTGCAAGAAAACTTCATTGATCACATCAAGTCTGAATCCAGAAGTCAACAGCTCAAATTCAACTGTGGAATGTTTCGAACGCCGTAATAGCTAATGGCCTCTGTGACGTTTAACAGCACACTCTTCGGTGTCATAACATACAACTCAAGCCAGGAAAGTTTTTTTTTTTAAATAGGTACTTGAAAAAAGCGTCAACGAAGTGCAATATTTAAAAATGGGTTGCATACACATGCCACTATAAAGTAATTTATAACTTATAATCCTCGTATAAAGAATGTACCTGACGTAGCCATAAAGACACGTTTAGGTAACAGTAGCAGATGCGTCCCTGCGTCAGAGGGTACCACGTGTTTGCTCGCGTATGTCAACGGCGTATCCGAGAAAAATACTTACTCATAAAAAGAGCTGCTTTAAACACACGGATGGGACTTCTGTTTTTACCTATGAACAGACGGTACATCAACACGTCACTTCTTAAACCGACTACAAATTTCCAGGAATTATATCCATCTGTTCCTTTAATTCTTTGTCAGTTATTCACCGAATATAACGTAGCTTTGCTTGCTTAGTTGATAGACGCTGATCGTCCTTCACGCACGATCCTGTCATAACTTTAAGTAGCACCATTTCCGCTCACCGTCAGTAGACACTAAGTAGCGTTGTTCGCAATTAATCTGTCACACCCCT